ATCAGGAGCTTTATGTTTAATAATTCACTGCACCAATGAGCATACATTATAAACTTCGCAAATTAACATACTAATTAAAAAAATAAAAAACGTACAGGTTTAAGTGTTACATAATAAGGCTTTTGATCGGTGTCGGTATGATGATACGAGTTCATTTTTTTTTGTTTAGTGTGAAATGGTGAGGTCTAAAAATTATGATAAATTTTTCCTTCAAACATAGAATACATCGTTTGCTGGAGTTACTGTACGGGCTACCACGAGCAAGAATTTTCCATGTTATTCTATGCTCAATATTTTTTTCTTTGAGTGACCAAACATTTTTACTTAGTTCTGTCGCATTTCTAGATGCCTGATTACGAAATGAGGCAGTGTGGTTTCTGTACCTTGTTTTGAATTCATTTCCAGTGAGCTCGACGTACGTTTTGCTAGTTTGTTTGTCTAATTGCATAACTTCCGCTTGGTATATCACGCCGGACTGCAAACACTTCCCGTCCAGTGGACATGCGTTTTTTTTCTGACAATTGCATAGTTTGTTGACTTTCGTTTTATCAGTTGTGGTGCTCTTGTCAGTCGTGAGTTGTCGTTTGTTTTTACTGTTGATGGTATTCTTATATTGTTCATACAGCTATAGCTGACTTTGATGGTATTTCAGTTGAACATTTTCCTGAGATTATTGCCAGTCGGGAAGCACTTATCAATTAAATTCAGGAATCGCTTGCCGATGCTGTTACGGATGTTGCAGCTATATGGTGGGTTTTACCCTTCTCCGTGGGGGGCTCAAACTTTATTTGGTGGTTGTAACCACTTTCGCGTAGAGCTCTTTGGTAGGGTGGCGTCGTGATGTCAAACATCTTTTTATCTGATGATATTGATGATAATCGCCTGTTAATCCCGGCTGGGATATTCTTTGTGATGGCGGGTGGGTGGTTACTTCCTTGTGCACGTATACCAAGTTGGCGTTGGGCTTTGTAAAGGGGCTGTATGAACCCTCAACGAGGTTTAGCGTGACATCAAGGAAGTTGACTATCTTCTTATTCGCTCGCGACTAAACTGTCATCTCTGTAGAGACCGATCCGGACGTTCCTCCCTAACCGTGCTCATGGTTGTGATAATAGGAACCAGCCCACAAGTTCATAGGTCTCTGCCCGTTGAAACTTCCCATTGTGACATCAAACGTGTTGGAGCCCTTCATATATATATATATATATATACACACACACACATTTGAGTATTATCATTTATTTACAGACAAAAAAAAAAATTAAAAGTGTATTATAAATACAAACTACAAATTCATACAATTAGTTAACGAGTGTCAGTTAGCGATTTACAATAATAATAGAGAATATGGAGTGAATGTTCGCACAAACATTGCGAATGCATGGATGCTGAGCTGCCATATATATATAAATATGAATGTGGTGGTATCTTTCTCTGACCCATATTGGAATGATAATATTAAATATCTCATGGTCGTTACTAAAATTAATTGACAGTAGCATAAAATTCTTGAAATAAACCACATAATGCGTTTAGCAAATAAACGCAACACTGTTGACTCTGTACATTGTCAATCGTGCCACAGTACTTGTTCTGTATTTATCATGGCTTGGATTATGCGTAATTACCAGTGACTGCTTACATCAGCTTAATAAGGATTACGGCTTTGGGATTATATGTTTATTATGTGAAGTGGTAGAGTGATATGACACTGAATAGATTTACATCAGTGTGCACAACTCAAATCAGTTTATGTGATATTATGGTCCTTTTTACCTTGCATGTCACACAGTTCATTGAGCCCTTTTTGTTATTATTTTAGGCACCAATACCTCCAATCCTACTGTGTCGTCAACACAAGCACAAGTACAGCCACCCAAGACACCAGTCAAACCACATCGAGGAAGAGGAAGGCCCCGTATCAAGCCCATTGCTGCTAAGTCCAGGGGACCCGGTAGGCCTCGCAAGAAAGCTGCTAATAGTGCTGCAGCAATGGCTGGTGCACGGGCTGGTGCTGCAGCTGCTAGTGCTGCAGCGTATGCAGCTTATGGCTTTAGTTTTACAGGTAAGAGTGGCGGATATAGTGTAGCATGCAAACTATTAGTATTACTTGCTTGTATGAGTTTATATGGTCTGTATATCTATGATGTCATTGGATATTCCTGTGATGAAGGTCCATTAAACGCCACCATTCGCACAGTATCCAGGTTGTCTTCAGTCTTGACTATTCTATATACTGAAAAAAACATTTTTAAATAATTGGTTAATAATGTTGACAATTTTGAACTGGTAGAATTTTTAGTGTAAAGAAAATCAGAGACTAATAATAATGGTCATTTAATATACCTCTCAAATCACTGCTTATGATTATCTTGGTCAATTGGCCATAAACTAATTCAAATTTATTTGCCATTTCAACTTCCCATGAGGCATACAACCCTGGCTGCTGCCATATACAGGCATACATAGATTAGGTGCCAACATTCCATACCAGGCACCATGTCTTGATAACAGTCGTACTATATGTTCACCAAAAAAAATATTTTTGCAAAACAAAAAACAGCACAATTCTGTGATTGGTCAAAATTTTAGAAGCCAATAAATTTCAAATCTGCTGATAAAATTAGTTTGGAAAGGTTTTTGAAAAGATGAATATTAATGCTTAATTCACAGTGTTTCTCAGTTTTGACATTTCTATGTTGACTTCTCAACTTTGCCCATCATCTCATGTGCAATTCGTCACGATTATTATAACAATAAAATGTTTTATTCTGAATATATTTTTTTCCTTTTTTACTCTAATTTAGGTAACTCTGTTTCGGGTAATGGATCACAGCATTCCAGCACAGGAGGACAACAATCTGGCAAATGAAAACAACATAGATCTGATGATTCTCATATTGTGATATAGAACATACAAGGGGCTGCAAGCACTCTTGCTGTAGTCCTATTTTATTTCTCTTTTTCAGCTAAATTGACCGCATCTTTCAAGTACTTGGCAAGACAACTATTAACAGAGACTGAATGTTTTTAAAGGAAATCATCACACATCCTTCCATCCAGACAGATCTTCTTTTCAACCACCACCAGAACAATAAAATAAAAAATTGTGAACACTGTGACCCGTTGACCCAATCATTTAACTTGAACAGCTGATGAGCAAACTGGCTTGCAACTATTATTCTAGGGATATTATGTGGAAAAACATTGAATTGGATTGTAGTTGAACTATTCAGGTTTTCACATCTCTGTTCAACTCAAAATACATGCAAAAATACATGTATATACCAATAAATTACAAGAACCTAGAAAGTGGGGCTTTTTTATTTGTTGTCACTTTCTATTGTCGTGTATACAATATCAGGTTATAGAATGTTATGAAATCGTATTTACTTTCTTAGCATACTGCCCAACTCTGACATCTTTCTGTCACTAGTAGCAATACAGCAACTTGCTATTCAATACCAATTGCATTGCCATAACCAGTAAGGTGAATTATTGTGCGATAAAGTTGTGGCGTCTTTTTATTTCCTTTGGCAAGTCAGTGCATTCAGAACAGAAAACATGTGCAAACCACAGAACACGTTTTTAAACAAGGAAAGAGTGGATTGTGGAAAGGTGACTAGAGGCGCACAGAGACTGAAATTGTGTGTTTTATGTCGCGCTATGTGGTTTGTAAATTTTAACCTTTTAACATGGTTTTAACACAAGCATGTGTGCTTCTAATAGAGCAGATATGGTATTTTTACACAGTTAACAATTGAATACAAGCTGTCACCTATTGTCATGGTTAATTAGGAAATTTACAATATTATAACGGCTCATTAATTAGTCATATGTCACGTTAATCACTTTGAGAGAGAGAAACTGCCATAGTAAATGATTGAAAAGTCTGGAATACACCATTATTATTTGTACTGGCAGTGTCTGACTCTAGCCAGCCAGCCAGCCAGCCAGCCAGCCAGCCAGCCAGCCAGTCTATCGTTTATAACATAAAGAGGAATACTGATAAAATGTACTGATTAGTTTACATGTAATTGCTTTCTTTTTGTTTCTATAATTTATCCACAATTACTACAATAAGTTGACATGAAGCGCTTTCAGAGTTGGGCATTGTAATTGTGTGTTTTTTATTAACTGATTGGTTGAGTTTTAAATTAATGCAGGTATTTGATGTATAGTTGTTGAGGAGTTTGCTTTATATCTGTTACATAAGCGGATACAAGTAGGAAATAATTCATTGTCAGTCGTTGCCATTTTGAATGGTGGACATTGATACCCCAACCACGTGTTTGAATACAGTTTACCCAAGCTTGTCTGAGAAATGTCCCAGACCAGATAGTATTAAAGTCGTTTGGAATCACAAAACAAATTGATGTGCACGTGCTACACATTATGTCTTTTCCCTTTACAAACTATGTAGGAAATTTGTGATTTTGAGAAATAATTCTGGTGCACCAATTGAGGAAACCAGAATGTAATACTGGAACTGCATGATGTTACTGTAGTATTTGAAAAAGTTGGCTATCATGGATTGAATTAATCACTGAAATATATACATTTATGTTGTTTTCTTGTTATCAATATCATACAAGCAATATGGGCAGTGAAAACTTGAAATGATTTGCCAAGAAATTAGATTTAAAGTTTGTGGTAAACATAAGTAGCATTGTAAATAAATATGGTAGTTTGGATGATGGTAGGACAGCGTATTCCATTTTTGTGTTCACACATGTAAGTGGTAAGTCCAGGTGTGTGAATATTATCCATTGATTAATATGTAGATCATAGATAGCTACTTAAGAAGCAGTTTGTATGTGGAGGTTGTATCTCCTTGGTATGACATTTTTTTTCATTTTTAAGGAAATACATGCATTATATACGTTGGAGCAGGTTTGTAAATTACTGAATTGAATTTGGATACCACAAGCGCAACATTTGCTTTGCCAATTCGCAATTTTGCAAGTCAGGTCAATTATGATAGAGGTACAAAAATTCACCAAAAGATGCAAATTCTTTGAAGTGGTGTTCCTATCACAGATGACCCAAGCAGCAAATTCTTTATGATGCAAATGTAAAATGTTTTTGTTTTTTTTTCCTTTCTTCATTCTTTAACAAGAAGTTTAGGTATATATAGTGAATATTTGTTAAATCAGACGGTTTTAATTGGCACATTGCTGACGGTGCAAATGTTATCTGGAACTTTGCAAATTTACCAAAGGTAACAGAATAACATTTTGTCATTAAATGATATTTTTCTTATTTTATATTACTTTTACTTTTGGAGGACCCAATTCTCCAAATGATGTATGATTGATTGGTTATTAAATACTGTAAGAAAAATGTGTTACGACTTTGTACAATTGTGTTTGTTAACTTTGCATAGAGTCTTAATGTAATGTAATGTATACTGTAGAAGACTTTATTTTCGCTTGGAATTTATTTTCGCTATTTTCGCTGAAGGGATGATTTCGTGAAAATATAATCCAGCGAATATACTTTTTTTCCTATATTTCACATTAAACTCATCAAAAACCAGTGAAAATAAATTCCAAGCAAAACGCCCAAAAAGCCTTTTCAGCGAAAATTAATTCCAGCAAAAATAAAGTATTCCACAGTATACTGTAAACAGTTTATTTTTCACTGCTAGGAATGTTTACAATTTTATATTGCTCTGGCATTCGCAAAGACAAAATTTTGCAAAAGTCACTGACGCACCATTTCGTGTAGAAATTTTAATGCTACAAAATTTGACGATTTTTCACTGAATCATGAAAATATGTCTATTGTGATACAGTAGAGTAAGTGTTACAGTTGGGGGGTCCTGCTTCATCATACAGTTTGTGCTGTAGCTGTATACCGATACTATAAAATACTTAATTTTAGCTGGCAGTTAATTTTTGCTGCAAAGACTTTGGGTGTTTCGTATGAAATTTATTTTTACTGTTTTTTGACGAGTTGAATGTAAAATATAGGAAAAGAGGTATATTCGCTGGATTTTATTTTCACTGAAACATTCCTTCAGCGAAAATAAAGTATTTTACAGTACTTAGTAATATACAACTGGACTGTCCAAATATGATATGATGTACATTAGCTTATTCAATTTTGGTCTCTGCGAATGACTGTGGGCAGGAAGTCGCCACCATTGTCTTTCATGACTGCATTGTAGATTTTCTTTCTGATGAAACTAATGTCAGTCTATTTGCTTCAATTTTGGAACTTTCTCTAGAAGTAAAGCTCTTTACTTTGACTTTCTTTGAAGGGCGCCACCAGTGTTATGTTTATGCAATTCATATTGATCACGTCTTATCTCGGATGCCAGCCAATTTGAAATAGGACGTCTTTATTCCACACTTGTCCCGCTTCTGTATTCTAGAAATTTCTTCTAGTAATATTTGTGAAGAGCATCACAGTACCATTCCAGTGGATGTTTTCGTGACAACTAAGAAAATTCACTAATTCTGACTGGAAAAGAACGAACGATAACACCCCCCCCCCCTACTCAATGTGAGCTCGACTGCTCTAATCTACAGAACTAAAAACATACTTCTTTATATTTGCCAAAATAACTGCCCTGGAGTTGGAGTTGTATCCGCCATAAACCGACCGGAGTTTTTTTTTCTTCTGAACAACTCTCTCCAAGACTGAGTAACAATGATACCGCCCTCTCGGTGCTATTGCTTATAAGAAGCAACTATATATCCTCGGGGCCTATCCAACGATGGGGGTGCACTCGGCCAAAAGCTGGGATAGCATGCGTGTTACTGGATTTTAGAAATTTGTGCCAAGCACGTGGTTATGAATAGCATTTTTTCATACCCTTTCTAAGACCAAGCACAATATTAAAATCATTTTGTTCGGGCGTTCAAATACGGTACTTGTATTTTCACAGATTTAAGAATGGACTTGAGTTTGCATTCCATGTCAGTGAAGTCATTGCAATATCAGTCTGATCGAAATCATTGATATTTCATTATATTTTCATACCCTATTTCTGAATGGTTGTTTTGGTAACTCTGGACACGTAACCCACGTATTTGATTTTAGCCAAAATGAAAACTCCATTTCCGCGAGTTTTCTGTAACACACGTGCTTACCTGCAGGAGCGGGGGGGGGGGGGTTGCAACGGACATCTGGCATTTGAATTGCGGGTTTTCAGCGACTTGCTTGAGCAGCGCCGCTGCTAAGGTGACGAGGTGAAGGCCTCGCAGGTCAATGACCTTGATAACAACTCCTGTGGGAATCGCGTCATGTTTGTGTTCTTCGCGTTATTGGCTTTTGCAAACGGGAGCTTCAACCAATTTGATTGCGTTTTAAATTCAGAAGGCATAATTTCTCCCTGTTTACTATATTTCCTCCACACTGAATTTTTACTCTAATATTACCGTGTCAGTGTAGTTATCACCGCTTTCTATTTTTCAATCGCTTCGTCTCAAACTCAAACTAGGTGGTATGCAGTTCGCGAAGTATGGGTTCGTGCGTCAATTCCACAGTGATGTGTTCGTGTTTTTATTTTTACAGAATGCAGATGTAGACGGTGACAAAAAACTACAATCTTATCACTAAATTATAAAGACATACTTGTAGAACATAACCATGGCTTGGAATTTCCCGTTTTGTAAAAAGTGTGAACCGGCGTCACGGTAGATTCCCGACTGAAACGACTTTAACTTGAATACAGTTTATAACTTGCATAATATTTGATACTACTGGGATTATTTTCAACCACAGTCTCCATTTCCATGATACATTGGTGTCGTCCACGCGCGCCAGATGGCTCAACGTCACGTGACATACATTCGGAATGCGATTATCGTTCCCCGACACAACTTGGCATATATCTCGCACGCTGCCGTCTAGACCTTTAAATAGCTCAATTTTGTTTATCTCTAAAAAAAAAACACAAGGAAGATTGTAACTATTTCTATAAAATAATTGTATTGCATTAGCAATCGCACAATTTTCTCGCTTCTTTTATTCCCGGCCGCGAAAGTCTGCCGAGGAAGTGTGTATAGAGAAATTAATTGTGTAACTTTTAGATTTGTCATTTCTGTGAATATCAGACTTCTTGTGTGTCGTAGAACGCGAGGTCAAGGCGGTACACTGCCTGCTCTTGTACTGTTTACTAATTTGGCACATTGCTCTACTGCATTTGACCGACCGACATAATAAGTATCTACTTTGCATACGTTAATTTTGTCTTCCCCCGAAGCAGTATACATCGTGTTGCATCTAGCTTCATGCATTGACGAACAAGAACACACT